GAGTGATTAAATATCTGACACATGCAGACAGGATTAATTGCTGCTCTTAATGAGGGGAGAGGTGACTGCTCTCCCCTCTGGCATCAACACACCATTGCCACCTTGTCAATGACAGCAAGTGGTTGCTGGGGCCAGGCCTCACAAACCACACTCCCAAATCTCAATCTGCTCCTCTGAAATATCCTCTCTGCAGGACACCTTCTCCTTGAAGCAGTACTTGGTAAGTCTTGTGATTTTTATCATGAGGCTTTTAACACTTATGGTCTTCAGTAAGACATCATGTCCAAGCCTCATGAAGCTATAAATAAAATTAATTATATCAAAGTCCAAGTGCTCATTTATCAAAATGTAAGTAAAAAAAATCCATCAAAATACTTCTAATTTTATTAGAAATGAAATGTTTTTGTTAAATCCCTGATTTTTACCCCATTTATTGGTTTATTGAAGCCTGAATGTTGACATTTGAAAGGCTGGCAGTAATGCCAGATCCTCAGAGATGCTGAGTCCATTGTAACTAACTGAATACTGCCATCTTCCAAATAAAACCACCCAAAACAATGAATGAAGTGCATGAACTCGGCAGCTTTAGTCTGCTCCCTCCACTGCATTGTTAGTGACAGGCTGTTCTGCCTCAGCCAGAACTGAGTAGGTGACTGCCTGACAGAGTCTGCGTGCTGCAGCGACTTCTGGGGCGTGTGTGCTCCCACTGAAGTCAGCACTACTTGTGGTGCTTCACAGCAAAACTGGAGCCCATCTGGTAGCACGTGTGAGATGGGTGCTGGGTCTCAGCCCTGTCACTGAGGTGGGAACAGGTCCATTACTGAGAGCAGCACTAATTTGTCACTGACTGGCCTAACTACAGAGAAAGGTGCAGCTGAGTGCACGGGTAAAGGACAGGATACACCCTCTGGTTGTTTTATAGGGGGTTTTGAAGAAGGAGGGTGGTAAACATACAACATGGTGGCTCCCGCAAAGCCTGCTTCCAGGGCAATGTGTTCCTTTGAGACGTAATTGATTCCTGCCATCAGGCACCAGCCTGCTCTCCCCCAGGGTCAGCGCTTTCCCACATCCAACCCCATTATCCCACAGACCATGCCTTTTGTACAACACACTCCAGCTATTCATGTGCAAAGCAGCTGTAATCCCCAGACCTTTCAGAGTCAATATACCAGGAAATAATAAATCCCTCTTGTGCACTCTTGAATATGCCGAGAGGTGACTTGTGGGAATTTCAGCTGGGCAGAAAAATAATAAATTCTTCTTAATTTTTAATTATTTGGAATACTCACTATAGAAAGACCTTGTCATTGGTGCATGACTACTTCACGGTCACCCACACAAGCAGCTACAGAAATTGCCTTTGCCTCTAACAACCCTGAAAAATGCAGATCAAACTGTCTCATATGTTTCTTAATGATCAAAGTCTACTTTCCTTCATTTATCCACCTGGGAATGGCAGTGTATTAAGCATTCTGGATCTAAAGAAAAACTAATTAAAAAAGGCTAAATCTGTGAAGAATGTACTTTACTGTAATAAAAGGCTCCTTTTTGTCAGGGTTCTAATGTCTAAAGGAAGCAAGATAATGCCATGCTAATGACATTTAATGGAATATTTTATACAATAGATCTAAGAACAACACAACCTTTTCCCCTGAAAGGGGCAAATTTCACTACACTGCCACTCTGCTGGTCTGACAGTAGAATTATGCTTGGCTTGTGAGAGCAGAAGCCAGTCCTGAAGACCAAGTCTGGCAGGATAATTTCTTTTAAGTATTGCCTTCTACATATTGTCAAACCATTTCTTTAAACTGTTTACTGTGTAAAGCATAGTATCACTGAAACACTACAAGCAGAACACAGTAGGCAAGTCAGATGCACCCAGGGGGCTGGGAGAAGGGATCTTCATCTACAACACCACAGTAAGCAGTGGCTCGTAAGTTAAAAACTGTCAAAGGCCCATTAGTGTTCATCTCAAATAGGCTGTACCCTGTCTTTGCAAACCTCATCCAAGAAACCTCCAACAGAGTCATAAGAGTATGAGGATGATGAAGGAACGTGGCAACACTGCAGGGATTTGTGGTGGTAAAATCCAGGAATCTAAAACATTAGATATATCAACCCAACAACAGTTAGGTATGAGTGTGGCAGAGCATACAGACCCAATAGTTTCATCAAGCATTCTAAGATGATAATTTCCATACCGACATGTCAGCATAGGTCTACATTGGACCCTGTTAAGTGTTCTCACAGTTACTGCCTGCCTCAGTGATGCTGCCACTAGCACAATACCTGGGAAAGCCAGGTCAGAGACAGCTTGGTCCTAAAAAGCCTTCCATGTTACCTGTGTAAGGAAGCCTCTTCAGCAACTCCCATGGGCTGGCCTGGGGAGGAGACAAAAGCCGACTTGAGATCACACTGCACACAGGACAGATTCTGCAAGGCCCTGCTCTCCAGGCAGCTGTGGTGACAAAGGGCTATCCCAGGGAAGAAGGATCTCTGCCAGGCTCCCAACAGATGGGGAGAAAAGAAACTCCTCTGCCAGACAGAGGGAAGAGGCCACCCTCAGCACTTCCACTGAGAGAACCACTACCCCCAGAGATGTTCCTTCTCCACTTTGTTCTCCCAGGTATTCAGTATCACCAAGTGGTGCCAGAAAAGCAGGAGAACCCCTTCAGCTTTGCCCCTACCTCCCACCACAGGCACAGACAGGCTCAGCTCCCAGTTCCAAGGGAGCTCTGCAAAAGAGTTCAGCAGCACCACACCCATTTCCCAGAAGGGCAAAATGGGTCATGGTGAAGCAAGCCCAGCAGACCTGGGACAGGCGGTACTGCAGCTGAGGTGGGCATTGCTCCTGGCCACCCCAGTGAACCAGTGCCTCTGTCCTCCCTGCCCCATGTTGCCTCTTCCTCTTGGTAAACACAGATCTGAAGCCCCTGCCTGCGTGGTGAAACACGTGCTTTTCAGCCTTGCTTGGTGAAAAAGCCATGTGAGTTCATCGTGCCCTGACAGAAGAGCAGGCTCCACAAAGGAGTTATTAGCACCAGGCTCTGTGGGTTTGAATTTCTCTGCCTTTCCCATACTTTTTCGCTATTGATAACATTTCTTGTTGGGACAATAGAAGTGTGCCTTGCAACTACTCACAACATTAGTGACGGTGCTTGAGCCTGAATGATTTAAAGGAAAAGAATCCAACTCCCAAAAGACCATCTGGCTATCAGTTATAATACAGCAATAAAGGTCAGGGCTGCTTCTCAGGAGTTGAGAAAAGAATGGTTTTTGACAGTGAAGAGTCTTCAACCAGCTTGGTAGAGACCTACCTGCCAGCTTCTAGCTGCAGAGCCTGCTACCAATGCTACCTTGCTAGGAAAGGGAAAACAAAGGACAAAAACTTTTGGAGGAAGAATATAGGAAAAAGGGTAACACCTAATTATAGTTGGCAAAAGCTAGGTCATGGTCTCTGAGCTCTATCTTATTTTGTATCATAATCCTTTGACTGCTTCAAAGTGTTCATGAGATGTCTTGTCTCCTGGCTTTCCCACAAGGCAGGGAATAAAGGGCTCCAAGGACAACATCTGCCCCTCACAAAGAGCTAAGCCCATTCAGGCCCATACAATAAAACCCATGAAGCTGGCTATGTCAATGACACCTCCCTCCTTCCCGCCAACTGCCCATTAAGCTCAGGCTTCACTTCAGGATTTCTCAGTAAGAAATTGTCTCTAGCTTTCTTACCTCACTGCACACTTGTCTCCCACCATTTCCATCTCCAGATTCTCAGCCATGCTCCCATGCACAAAAAGGTAACTGGGAGCAGACAAGCACACCTCTGCCTCTGGCACTACAGGCTGGACTCTCAGATGGCAGGACACAGCACAGGACACAGCACAGGACCTCTGGTAGGTTCTGGGTTATCTTCAGTGCTGCCCCAAGGACTGTATCCAGGCTCAGATTTTTCTTGTAAGACAGAATCAGAACTGACCTGAAGTGTCCACAGAACTTCATTCTTTTTCTTGCCTTTACCACACAAGAAAGAATGTTTTTGTAATTTTAATTGAATTTTTCATGCAAATACAAGCAAGCAACAGCACTATCTCAATTTTTCAGATAAGAAAATGGAGTGGGGATGACATGCTAAAGGTTATACAGGGAGGTGACTATGTAGTCTCAGAGATCACACATACTGCAAACAGCAGCAGGTCCAGTCTGCACTGGGGCAGTGTGATAAAAACAGAGCACCAGAAATCTCAAGCAAGAAGCTGAACTGACCTCCTTGCTTAAGATCTGAATATGGGGCTCAGCTACCAAATCCCTATTTATTTGCCCTGTCCATCCAACATCCCACCATCCTGGCTGCAGATTCTCCATAGCATTTAGAAATGCCCTGAAAACAAACCTGTTGTTTCACACTGATGGTAACACTCTGGCTTAACCCTTCAAAGCACAATGACTATATGGACAAGCACAAACACACCCACACTCCACACAGCAGCACCGGGGATGCTGCCTGTCAAGTGCCCTCTCTAGGAAGGGCAGAGACATGTCCTTGGTGCTGATGATTTTGGCCCTTAGAGTGGTCCCCTTCTTTTCCCGCCTTTCCCCAGAGTGTGCCACCTCCACACCACAAACGTGACAGGCACAAGCAGGGACTCAGGAATGCTATTGATCCCAGATGACCAGCTGAAGGGTCAGTGTTTTCCCAGCTCCTGGAGCAGCCCCGAGGAGCCACACTGCACACTCCACCAGCCAGCGTGGGCAGAAGGTTATTCTCTCCAGGGCATTTGCAATCAATGTACCATGCACTAATAGATGCTTCCTCTATTGTTGAGCTGTGTGCCTGGATTGGCTGCATGGCTGTGGGAAACACCAGCAATCCCTAGACTCACGTATGTGATGAAGCATCCCAATGTATAAATAGAGGCAGTTGGGAACTGCCAAAGCAGAGTCTTAAGCTCAGGACAGCAGCCCACCCTGGGGGTCTGTGCCCAGGACTGAGAGCACTAAGAATGGCTCCCAGTAATACTCTCATGATCCACATGGAGGAGAAACTGCTGCCAAAAGAAAAAAATAAAGTAAGTAGAGCCCCTGACAGGATTAGAAAGGCTGGTCTGTGCTATGTGCAATGGGCTGCCTCTTTCAAACAAATACCACATAGGAAAAGATGAGATAAGGAGGGAGAAAATGGTCTGAAGGAAGGCAAATAGCTTAGGGAGAGATAAGTGAGACTGTATAGATTTATAAAACTAAACTGAGCAGGGAACAGGTAGGCAGCATCACAAAACTCTCCTACCTAAAGAAAGTGTCTTTGAACACGTGTATCAGGGTGTTAGAAGGGGAATTAGGTCAGGTCTCAAAATCCTTAACAATCTGCTCCATCTCTCCTACAGCTGAGGAAGCCGGTGGTGGAGAAAATGCGCCGCGACCGGATTAACAGCAGCATCGAGCAGCTGAAATTGCTGCTGGAGAAGGAGTTTCAGAGACACCAGCCCAACTCCAAGCTGGAGAAAGCTGACATCCTGGAAGTGGCTGTCAGCTACCTGAAGCAGCAGAGTCAGCTGCAGAGCCAGCTGCAGGACCAAAGTGAGTGCAGAGCATACATTGCACACCACTGCCCCAGGCCTGTGTCCTCCTGCCCAGCCCCTGAACTATGCAGGGCTGTAACACACCAGGTCCAGTCACATGAACAAGGCCCATGGATTCAGGCTTTTGAAAAAAAACTGAACACATGAATCACCACTGTCCCGTGTTTTAACTGTGATTTTAACCCAGTGCATTTGCTTCTCTCTCTCTTTTCTAGCATTCATTCACAAAAGTCTAGAGCAGGACTTCAACAGTGGATACCTGCGGTGCCTCAAGGAAGCCCTTCATTTTCTGTCCTACTATGAACCCAAGAAGGAAACACAAGTGCAGCTGATCAAGCATTTCTGCAAATCTCAGATAGGTGCAGATGTCATGTACTCCCCTACTCTGCGCAGTCCACCCCTGCCACCCTGTCTGTTTGCCAGAAAGCAACCAGCCCAGAAGACTGTGGGTTCTGCTCCTACCATCTGGAGACCTTGGTAGACCTCCTGAACTTTATTTTATATCTAAGTTTTGCTACAAAAACTAGAGGACCTGTGATTTAATAGTTCCTCTTTGAAGTAGGAAACATTGTTTTCCAAAGGTGGGAGGGGGGCAGTAATTTTTTTTCTGTCACAAGAAATGAGGGTTGCCGAGTAGTTTCCCTTCACAGTGAAGGAATGTGTTTGTGTCTTGCAGCAAATTTGCTGCTTTTATTGGTGGCTCCCATTCAAAGAGAGGAGCAAGTCCTGCAGTGATTTAGAAAGCCAAATGCCTTTCAGTTTCCATCACACTTTTGCTTGGCAAGGCTGTTGAGCCTGTGGCTGTCAGTGGAAATCTCTCTGCTAACTGCCTGGGTCACTGGTTCAAGTGCTCTATTGTCTCTAGATAATGTATTGACCTTCTAAAGAAGGAGCACTTTGAAGAATGTATTTTGTATCATAAAGAGAATGTTGTGCCTTTAACTTTTGAGTGAAAGGTGTTATTAAGAAATGCTGATTCTTCTGAAGTTCCTATGTTATTTTTAGTATACCTTCTTACAGAAAGTTATGATAACAGATAGCTCTAGGGAAAACTGTTTTAATGTCAGTATGTGCTACTCTCAGTTGAGGGGTAATTGATGCCTTTTGTAAAGGAAACAACTGTATACCTTAAGGAAAAGGGAGAGGAAAGGAGACAATAAGTATTTTATAATAATTCATTGAATATGCTAAAGAGCTTAAAAAGCTTTTATAAAGTTGTGATGTATTCATCCTGTGTGATGCTCCACTTCAGTGTCTTTGCTGTACAATACAATAAAAAATGTTTTATTCATTAATCCTTTGGTTTGAAATTATTAAACTATAATACTCCTGGACTGAGTGTTGCATGTAGACTCCTGCTGCAGTGGGAAGCTATCAGATGATGTCATATTTCTGAGCCCTTCATTCCAGTATACTTTATATTTGTGAAGTTCATTTGGCAGATAAGGGGGTCCCAAAGTCATCCCTGAGCATCTTAAATACCAACAGTTTCTCCAAAACATAACAGTTTCCTCAATAACATTCACTCACTTTTCCTCAGAAGAGTTCCTATTCATTGCTCAGTGGGGAATATTCACTCCTTATTTTCCTTTCTCTTCAAAGTAAAATAAATCTGCACTATTAGTCCACAAAACTGTTTTCTAAGCACTGTAACACATTGATTTGGATATATGACAGAGAAACCTCTCATTAGTCCAGAAAAACAATAACTGCATGAAACACCATTGGTCAACCACTTTCACTCTCCTCAGATTCTCTGGCAGAAATGCCCTCGAAAAACTTTGTTTCTAGCATATGCTTTTTTTCTGAAACAAAAGGAAACTATCTGATCTTGTCAAATAGCTGCTTAGTTAATTAAGCACTAAGCAAACTCTGATCTGCTATGCTGACAAGACCAAACTGCACCCAAATACAGCTAGCTGTACCTGGCCAGTCCTCACTCAATTTGTCATGAACCCTTTGTTATACATAAAGGCAGGGGCAAAAAGCCAGCTAGCCAGGTCAAGAACACATTGCTCTACCTCATTATGCTTGCATGGATCATTTTCATTATTATTTTACCCTGAATGCATGAGCTGGTTGAGTGCTCCTCATCTGTCTGCCAACGCAACGCAGGGTAGGGTCCTGGTACAGTTCCGCAATTCATGAGGGGCTGGTACCAATGCTGCAGATAGATTTGTTCTTCCTAATGAACAACTACATAATTCATAAGAGATATTTTTAGATTTTCTGGTTGCTTAGTGATCTTGAAAAAGCCACTTCACCTTGCTGTGCTCAACTTGTCTTTGTCAATTAGTATAACCTTCGAAATCCCAGGAAAATTCAAGCTGTTCATCCATGCCTATGCATTTTTAAATCAAGTCTAATTAAGGCTGTTTGGGGGAGTTCAGACTCAGTCAAAATGCAATATGCCCCAAAGCACACCACAACCTGACTAGACACCACAGGGACTGGGAATAGTCACACACAGCACAGAGAAGGCAGCTGCTATTATGTGGACAGTAACTTCTGCAGCTAATGTGTTAACATCCAAGTAAACCACACTGTGGATGTCACAGTTGGCAGCATCATTACAGCATAAATGGAAAACAGAAAAGGAAACCAAAGAAGAGCTGCACAAACTGAAGACTGTTGGATTTGAACCCAGTTTCTCTAGCTGTAGGCTAACACAGAAACAGGCCGTACAAATGACAACTGTGCAAAACTCATGTGAAATCACAAACTTCTCCACCCAAAACTCCTGCCACCCATAGCGGCATAAATCTGGAGCCACATGGCTACTGTCATTCAAACCACATAGTCTGATTCTCATGTTCACTGAGGCTGCACTGCATTACTCTGGCTACAGTGGGTGAGCTGAGCATGCCTCGCTGTTACCACACATGAGATTCAGACCTGCTGTTTGCAGAGTGGTGTAAGGGACTGGAAGAGTAAACACCTTCTTTCTGGGCAGGGGGAAGAAACCAAACGCCACCAGAAAGCCTCTCCAGTGGGTCAGATCTATGACTGGTGCAAGGACACTGCTTCTGCTTTTCACTAGCCAAAGCCTTGCCCCTCTGGGCTTCAGTTCACCAATTACTTAAAGGCAGACCGCCCATTTCAACAGTCTTACCACAGGAAAGGTTATGTTTACAATTTATTAATTATTATCACATAAAATAACTGAACGCAAAGCTTCTTACTGCTCCTCTGTCCCCTGGGGTGATTCTCCCCTGCTCTAACACATTCCCGCCCTTAGGGAAGATGTTGTTTATCATGCTGATCCCACAGCCCAGGAATACTCTCTTGAAAAAGCCCCTATTAACCTCAGAGTGTGGGCTTGAGTTTCTCAGAGTTTCCCACACTTTCTTCCCTATTTATGACATTCAAAGGGACCACAAAGGAAGCGTGCCTCACAACAGCCCACATTAGTGACGCTTTTTGGCTCTGCATTGTGATGACCAGCAATTCCTGTCCCGATAGACCATCTGGAGAGCTATTTTCCCAAGAAGCACATTGATCGATCAGTATTATGCAAGTGCCCTTTTAAAACTTGGGAACCTTATGCTCTTTGACACCAAATAGGTGTCTCGAGAGGGGCTGTCAGAAAGATTTTAAATCATTTAAGGAAGGCACAGAAAAAAAATAATCGTAATTATTTCTTTAAAAAACACCATCAATAGCATTTGTGAGACAGACTGACATGACTGTAGGAAATGGTCTAAAATAAAAATGCTCTAAAAATGGTATAGAAAAGAAAGCTTTATGCTGTCGAGTTGTGTACTGTAAGTAGAGCCCCAGATGTAGAGAAGCACTGATTTTGAGACCTATATCAAACAATGAAATCCTGGTTTTCTGTACTCTTCTCTCATAGTCCATCTTCCTGCAAGCCTGTTCCTACATTGCCATACACTGTCTTCTCCTCCACAGAAAGCTAAGTATCAGATGGGATAGGAAAGCTGCCCATTGGTACTACAAGTATTAGCATCTTTTGTGAAAACAGCACGTGTAGTAAGTCTGCACGTGAGCTGAAATCATCACCTACAAATCAAAAGCAGAAAGCTCCATGGTCCAGTACCAATTTCCTAGGCTAGCAGTCCTGCAGCAGGTCTGATTTCTAAACTATAATGAACACAACCTACTGATGACAGCCTTGGGGTTGGTTGTTACCTCTCCTGGATTCTCCTGTCCTGTTCCTCAACTCAATGCACACAGATTGCAACTGTAGCTCAGGGTAAAATGAGAAGCAGCATCTACACAATGTTTCTGGCCTTAGAAGAAGCTAGATTTCCTGCCTCAAACATTAGGTCTGTAAGAATAGACAATTCAGAATGGTTAAGGTTGGAAGGGAAATTAAAGATCTTCAGGTTCCAGCCTCCTTGCCACGAGCAGGGTCACTTCACACTAGACCAGGCTGCGAAAAGCCTTATCCAACCTGCCCTTGAACACCTCCAGGGAGGAGGCATCCATAACCTCCCTAGGCAGCATATTCCAGCACCTTACTACCCTCATGGTGAAGAATTTCTTCCTGATTTTTATCCTAAATCTCCTCTCTTTCAATTTAAAACCATTACCCCTTGTCCTATCACAAGCCTCTTTGGGGAAAAGGCCCTCCCCTCAGCTTTCCTGTAGCCTTTTCAGGCACTGGAAGATCCCCTCTGAGCATTCTCTTTTCCAGGCTGAATACCACCAACACTCTGCCATTGTTTGCAAACTTCTGTTTCTCCTTACACTCTGCAATATTCTATAACAAGTTAGCCTGGAAACACCTTCCTGTTTTCATGTGTGATTTTGAAGACTGCATCTTCATGGTGCCAATCTTGACTGTGATGTAGTTCACAGAAGAACAAGGCCACTAAGCAAGCAAAGCACATGTTCTGCAGCATAACTGTCGTATCTCAGAAGCAGGTCTAGATTTTACACCATCCTCCAAATAATGGAATTATTGTGTCACAGCAGTAATTGGGGGGGTTTGTTTCTTTTAATCTGTCATTACAAAAACAGGGAACCCCCTGTTTCTGAGCCTAAAACAATCAATCTTTCATTCTGGCTCTGCAGTGACAGTCAGAGAGAGGCACAAACTCCTCTCACAGATATGAAGGACAGTGACAAGGATGTGGATCAGAAACATGTTTAGTAGGACAGACTACTGCACTAAAAGCTGAACTTTAAAACAGCCCAAATTAAGCAAACTAGTTACAGACTCTTAAAAAAGAGCAACTGGATTGTCTACAGAACAAGATTTTTTTTTTCCCTTCGGGAAATCCTTGCAGAAAGTGCATACTGCCCCCAGTTTCATAATTAATAGATGCTAGGGACAGCCAGAGTGTAGGCTATTTATTATTAGTGTTTCCATTAAGTTTTCAGGCCTTAAAAATCAAACCAAGCTGATTGGGGAGGAAGATATTTGATTCTCTTATTCATTAAGAGCATACAGAGGGTAGGTGAAGCAGGCAACTGCTATATTTTCAACTGTCAGAGAGAGGGGGAGAGAAGCTGGGAGCTTGTGAGCCCAGAGGGCTGCTGTTTTGTGTGCTGGCTGCAAGGCAGCGTGCCTGGTTCACCATTCACATCAGATGGTGCGAGTCCGCAGCTCCGAGGATTTCCCACATTACCCCATTCAGAGTGTTAAACTGTCAACAAAAGAAGTGTGCCTCTGTGGGTCCCGGGAAGAAAGCTAACGCCTGCTGCACCATCTGCCCAGCATTTAAAGGAAGGGATAATGCTTTAATCAGTGGGAGTTGGTTTAGCCCTTTGGAGTCCAGGGGCATTGTGCTGAGGATAGGATGGCATTATTTAAAACCACTCATTTCATATTTCCAGAACCGAAAATTGGGTCAAAGCTTCCCTCCCATCTCCCTGTGCCTGCTGCTGCTGTAAACACATTCCTGCCCATACGGAGCATGGCAGGACCTGCTGTCCATTCCTTGTCATGTGACCCAAGGGATGCACAAAGCCTGGGCTTGACTTCAATCTCCTTAACTGCACAGGTACATGTAGGCAGGGATCACCTTGGCTGCAAGTAATACTGCTTGTGACCAGCTGACAAAATAATTCAGGGAACTATATTCCCTGTTCAGTTATAGATTTTTTACAACCATCAACAATTAAAATTATTACACCCTAATTGATCCATCTCAATGTAGAATGTCTTTGGCTGGAAAGGGAGGAGGGCAGAATGGCTGACCTATGAAAACCACTGCCATGAGAAGCCAGGACATTAACAGGGGCTTTCTAAGCTTGGGGTTAATACCGAGTTACAGAATCACCTTTTGCAGGATCATATCCTTTTATGCAACAACTCTGTCTGTTCTGGAAAACACTGCTAACTCTGTACCCATGACACAGGTTTTGACCCTGGCCTATTGAGGGGGATCCTGAGGGCAGGTGAAACAGGCTGACTGCAGCTGACAATGAAATGAAAGGTTTCCATTCTGGTGTCAAAAGGCAGACACAGCATATAGGTAGGGTTTTGATGAATATTGTGGTAAGAACCAGGTATTCAAAAAATAAGAGCCCAAATCTGCTAGCACGTTCACAACAATCTAGGCTTACTCCCTGTTCTAGCCTCTGAGTATGGAAGATAGATTAGAGAAAAAAACATTATGCCCATGCATGACTCCCCTTAAACCTGCAGAGCTCCACATACTGCAGCTGAAACCGACATGCAATCAAGCATAACTGGGAATTTGTCAATATGAGGCCTGTCTGACAGATCTTAGCTGAGACTCGCTATGCATTGAACTCTGCATTGGGGGCAGCAGATCTGAGACTGCAACCTGAAATAGCCTGAAAAAAAAGGCAGTTTTAATCGTGAATTCTATCTGGCTCTTTCCACTTCCTTATCTGTGTTCATTGCAGTACACATGGCACATACTGAGAAAACCCAAGACTGAACAAGAGCCACAGGATATCCTAAACTCTGTATTTGCATTCTGCAAGGGAGATAACACAAGCTAAGTAATATACAAGAACTGGCTTTTCACTGTATCTCAAATGTCTGCAAAGGGAAAAATATATTTAGGAGCCTTATGTGGAGAGTCAGGACCAAGGGAACAGGGATGCATTTGCAAAATAGCATGAAATTAAATAGGACATGTTTAGGAAAGGCATCATAATCATTACATGTCACAGGCTGCCACAGAAAAGCCCAGATTACCCAAACAAAAGCAAGGAAGAGCTCTGAACATAATTTAGAGGGACCTCAAGTGTTTCAACAATAGAGAGGAAAATATTTCAAGCTAACTATTTGCTACAACTTGTTCTAAAGGTTCTTCCCTCAATTTTAGTCCTTAGTTGCCCAAAAATTATCTGGTACTGTATTCATCTAAGCACGGTTTAATGTCAATGAAAGGGTTTAGTCCCTCTAATTCTGCATCTTTTCCTTTTCAACCTCCCTTCTGGTCGTGGGCACAGAGCATTATCTCTCCCTGGATCAGTCTTCTGTGCTTAATTTCACCACAGCCTGGGAAAACGCAGCACATTGAGATGTTGACGTTCCAAACATCAGGCAGAAGTTGGATTATAATGACGGCAAAGCTTTCCCACGTTCTTCCCCCAGCTCCGTAACGCCAAGCCCTATTGTGTCACACACTCCCCAGTCCACCTGCTCCTTTGGGAGCAGGGTATTATCCCCAGGCAATTCACAGTCAATTTGCCATGCTGTAATAGATGCTTTCTCTATTGTCCCAGGGCACGCAAGGATTGGCTATCGACTGTGGGAAATTCCAAGTCGCTTAGGACCCATACATTTGTATGCAGCCACTTCGTATAAATAGAGGGACTCCCAGCTCCCTTCCCCACCCGCTCACCAGCAAGCTCCGAGCTTAAACCAGCACTTGGGATAATGGCACCCAGCACCCTCTCCCTGCAAATTCTAACGCCCAAAGAGAAGAACAGAGTAAGTATCTGCTGTCTCTGATCACAAGGGTAAAGGGCTGAGAAGGGCTGAAATCCTTAAGCAACAGGTTATATGGAGAGGGGAATGGAAAAGCCTCAATGCTAACTGTCCCCTTCCCATTTTGTGTTACAGCTCAGGAAACCTATCGTAGAAAAACTGCGCCGCGACCGGATTAACAGCAGCATCGAGCAGCTGAAACTGCTGCTGGAGAAGGAATTTCAGAGACACCAGCCCAACTCCAAGCTAGAGAAAGCTGACATCCTGGAGATGACTGTCAGCTACCTGAAATACAGCCGAGGTGAGTACACCCCCCCATCACGTTTGCTGCCCTTTTAGGCAAAACTCCAGCCTGAGCCTCCCTGTGTAACACTTCTCTCTCTTCTGCCCTTGCAGCTTTTGCAGCCTCTGCCAAAAACCTACAGCAGGATTATTGTGAAGGGTATGCCTGGTGCCTCAAGGAAGCTCTGCAATTTCTGTCTCTCCATTCAGCCAACACAGAAACCCGGATGAAGCTGATCCGCCATTTCCAGAGGTCACAAGCAGTGCCTAAGGACTCTGGTTCTTCTTCTCTACCTACTTCCACCCACCAGCCCTCTGCAAAACAAGCAGCACCGAAACCATCCTGCAGCCTCTGGAGGCCTTGGTAGGCCGAGAGTACACTTTTGTGTTTCCTGGACATTTGCTTGTATTCCAGAGGAGATTGTGACTTGCTATACAAGTCCCCCCCACTCCTCTCATAAGTAGGGAAGAATGTTTTTCTTTTGCAGAGCATTACTATGCTCGGATGTTTGCATCCCTTCTCCCAGAAGGACTGAAATGATCCCACCACGTGGAGAATAAGTTATTCTAAAAGAATGTGAGATGTAATCCTCCTGCCAGGAGGACTGAGAGGAGTTGTTCAGAGAGGAACACTGACTGTTCTTAACCTTAGTGAGGTTGCATATGTATATCTTTTGAGAAAGCAGTAACTTCTAAGATGTTTGGGCTAGCATTTTCAAAAGTGTCCATTCAGGAGGAGCTCTTTCCTCTGATCCGCCCCACTGGAGACTCCCAAGTGTCCCAAGCTATCCACACCTGCACTGCCTGGCTGCAGCTGCAGGCTTGGGGGCTCAAGGTGCCTCAAGTGGAGCAGCTAGTCTGACTGGACACATTTGAAAAGCTGGCTTTCCTAGGGGTGCCATACTGGGCTCTATAATATTTGTAGGTTGTACTGAGCATGCTCTGAAAATGGTTAAACCATAACTCAAACTGCGTAGAGGAAATTCCTCGGGATGTCTTGCTCACAGAGTACTGTGAGGTTCAGGATATGTATGCCTTTTATAAAGGCAAAAGCTCATTTTTATATCCTTATAGGATAGGAAGTTACAGCTGTGTTGTTGATTTTATGGTAAATATTTATAGAAGTCTTTCATGAAAGGCAAATGTACAAATTGTATTTACTCTTTGGTACCCTACCACCAGGGGAGAATGTGAGTTCATTACTGTCCTTAGAGGATGCTATGACATGTGTGAGCTGCACCAACTGTAAAATCTGTGCCAGAAATTACCTTGAACTTCATAAGCTGCAGAAACTTTTTAACAGTGCAAAAATAAATAAAAATCTACTTAATAAATCAGCAAGTCAATTCTTTGATTAGTTCATATGGCTGGCTTCCCTGTTGCTCCAGGGGTTAAAGGGCATGAGACAAAGATTTCAGTAAAAGATACTCAGAATTGGTATTTAACAGTTTCACCAGTTCTGTGTCCATTTGAAAGCCCTGCAGTGTTTTCCCCAGCAGAGAACACAAAGCTTCAAAACTAAGTCCTAGTTCTCTCAACCCAAGACAAAACAGAGGCATGCCTAACCACAACAACTCTCTGGAAATTTAGAGCCAAGGAGACTTGTCAAGTAAGGACACATCAAGCGTGAACTCCAGAAAAATAATTCTTATTAACACGTAAGCTCTGCCCAGGCAGTATTTTGTTACGTGTGACGTTCCTGTGGCTTGTAGCCGAGTCAGAAAACAGCCTGAGACGCGGGTAATTTAGGCTTTTCTCTCAGGACAGGAGCAGCTGCTCCACACCTGCCTGCAGGTGAGGCAGCCGCCTCAGCTCAGATCAACGCCGCACAGGGGAAGGGGCTCAC